GAACGCGTCTCTCTCTACCCGTTGCCAGGGGCAACCGCCGTGGTCCGCGCCGGCCGGCAAGAGTAAATAAATAAATAAAGCGTTAAATAACTAAATAAAGATAAATCGCACTAAATCGATAATCGGTCCGATTTAAAGTTTAGAGACGAAAAATCGGAAATGCCTAAGTTTACCGCGGGGCCGGGGGCGTGCCCACCTGCAAAATTTAATCTCGCCGAACCCCACGGTCCGAGAGCTAAATCCCCCGGTAGGGAGCGTACGCGGACGGACGGACGGACAAAAAATGAATTATATAGGTTAGATGTATGTGTGGGTGTATGAATGGAGGGGGGTGAGTGGAAGTGTAGCAGTGAGTGCGCACTGCTCTACGAACCCGGCAAGCCCAGTTCGATTGCAGCTAACAGCCAACACCGGTTATGATTATCTCAACCAGTCCTGTGCCTTCCCTAGGTCGACTCGGCCTCAAATGAATTCCTTGGTGTAAAGTGTAAACATCACCACCTGGGAGACAAAGGCGGCCGGGCGTGGTGCTGGCCACCCACCCCTTCGTGAGCTGTGCCGGGCTTCACAGGTGCTCGCTAACAGCACTTGCACCGACAGTCTATACGGGGGATCTTTGTGAGTGTGTGGTGTGTTAGTGCACGTGATAGCCCCAATCAACCTCCTTTACATTTTCGGTTATGATGCACAACTTCAAAGGCAAGCAGTATCAGAACCTAGCCTGGATCTCCTCTACGACAGCTCAGCACAATATGAATGTCTGGTGCCAGTGTGTCAACATCAGTCGTGGGGAGACAACAGTTGCCTTGAATGTTTCATGAGCCGAGCTGGCCTTTATAGTTACTCGCTGACAGCACGAGCTTTGACAGTCAACAACGTCTACATTGAGCCATCCTTTCTTCTTCTATTTGAATTAACTCCACAAACGAACTTTGCATGTGTATGTGAAACTGTTCGCATCAGGTGAAACGGTGTAAAAGAAGCAGCAACATATTCAAAAAGAGAGCGAGAGAGAGAGAGGCGTGGGTCTCAGCAGCCTCGTAACGAGACCACGAATCATAATCTCCTTCTCAATCTGCTGCTGACATGAATGTCTCTCGCAGATGAGGCGCGGAGGCTGTGCACACCCCCGGCTGTTTGACAGAAAGTTTGCAGCTTTGCCCATGAGGCGGTTATTTCGTCCGCCCCTTGTTGTTGCGGTGGGTTCTCGGTTTGACACCAGCGGCCGCCCTGGTTAATGCTACGGTGTGCTATACTACGCACACTGCTTCACAGTGGACATTAAAGATTCCCCCCTGGCATCATTTGAAATGAATGGGCCATTGTGTGCCGGCGTCTTGGCCCAAGTTTGCGAAGTTAACATTGTTTTTAACACGCAAATTACTAAAATGGCATTTACACATAGCAACATCGCCCCCTGCTGTGGAGCAACTGAAAACTCTGTGGATCATAGCACCTCCGTGACAGCCGTGCACGATAAGAACGAAATTATAATTGTTAATGTTGTTGTCATTATACCGTGTCTGCCGTGGAGGTTGCTGACCATAGTTCACCATGCTGATCCGTGAAATGTGATCGAAGGTTTGAGTGATAACCGAACCAACGGATCCTGGGCACACTGATCACCGACATTAGCCTTGGCTGGAAATCAAACTCGGGTAACTGAGGAGCTCTTAATGCATTGCACTGCTCACCCTCCAAACTCCCTTTGTATATAAAAAAGAAGTTAATATTTTGCAACTTCTGCTTTAAAAAAAATAGCATTTTTCAGTCAAAGACACGTTTCTGAGGATCACGTTTAACGTATGTATTTCTCTCTCGCCCAATTACTGGACAATTCTAACTGATGACTCATCCACCATACTCCAATCTCTAACCTGACCCCCTACCCACATTTCCTCCTTGTACTGGATTCTGTTATCCTCTTGTTAGAAAGATACAAATCTGCAAATCACTTCGACCTTGGCCATTTCATTATCGCCCCATGACCGGAACATCTTATGAGGATGACGGACCAAAAATATTAACGTCTAACCCTTACCCACATCCTGTACTTGTATTGTACTCTGCCGCTGATCTATTAATAGGCCAATGGTGGGCTGCGCTTTCTTCCACAAGGCTTCATTTTTCACGACAGCTGCCGTGTGTTGCTGTGCAGCTGGGATGCTTGGGCTGGTGTCATCACAGATTGCCGGCAGCGAGCAACAATAACCAATCTGCTCGCGTTTCAGCTGCGGTTAGAGAAGAAGGGCTGAATCGGATGCAGATATGCACGTTCTTTCATTGAAGGTTTTCTCGTGCACGGTTAACGCTCCTGGATCACTCTTCACCACGCCGCAACGATAACTGATGTTGGCAACGCTTATTGAATGAATGGATGGATGTCTGGGATGTTTGTGATGACTCCATCAAATACACGGTCATATTTGTGAAAACTCGTGTTCCTGGAGCAAATCCACACTTTTTAATGAAGACGCAAAAATTCTGCACAAACCTCCTTGCGCTCGCCTCCTTCAAGTCATTGATGTCTGTATGTATGTTGATTTTCTTTCGCACCGTGCGTAGCCAACCGTGCTAATTGGAGGTGCACGCTTGTTGACCTGAAGGTGGCTTGCCTTACCCACGCAATGGCTCCATCTCCGTACGGTCACGCAAACCCCCGCCACTGTTTAAGTTGCTGAATTTCAGGGAATGCGTCCCCCAACAGCCCCGGTGCGACACGGCATACACCTGTGCTGCATCGCAGTTTAAAAGCCAATAGAACCAAATGAGACTTCACACAGACCCATGGCACTGACATGACCCTCACTTAAACCTTCATAATCTATCGGGGCTCTCATCTGGCTGAGAAAACAAACGTCAGAGTGTGGCAATGAACGCCCTGGGGTTTTATGGGGCATTGGCGTGTCACCACGGCGCATACACGGCCGGTGCCTTAATGGCCACGGGAGCTGTGAATTCGTAAATCCGTGGCTCTTGGTCATTGCTGTATGAGGCTGGCCCTGCTTGCTTACGTGGGTGGAGGCGATGAGAGGGATTTACGGTCCCCGTCACTCTCCACGTCACCCATGCTCCTATTCAAAGCCCTGTAACTCAGCAGGGAACGTGCAGAGGTAATTCATTGCAAGCCGTTGCAATGTTGTCAGAAGGTAGCCCGCGATTACTTGTTACACGTCTTGTTTTCCACGTGATGGGTTTCATAAACTGTGTGTACTGTGTTTATATCTAACAAATTATATGGTGTTGCGGTAGGCCGATGGCCAAACCACCACAAACGCGCCCCATATCATCGGATCTCATAATTTTAAGTCGGGTTAAGTCTGGTTAGTGTTTGGATGTGAGACTACCTGCGAATTATCAGCTGTTGTAGGCTTGGGCTGTGAGATGGCCAGGAAATGGCAGTGGATTGAATATAGCTGTAGAGGACCTGCTTTTGCGTGGTATCTCACCATGTGCATAGGTTTTCTCTAGGTATCCCTAGTTATCCTTCCATGTAACAAACACTCTCTTATAGAAATCCCATTGTGGGGCCAACAATCCCATTACAGGACTCCTCCTGCATACGTCTTGAGGCTCAGTGAAGCTTTTCTCGGTAGTCAGAATCAGAATATGTATTTATGCTGGAGGAATTTCACGAACTATAAAGCTCTTTGCATTTGTCCAGTCGGGCCGGGTTAGAAAGTTACAACAACAAATAATACAACACACAAAGGAGTGCAAAGTATAGGAAAGGTAAGCCTAATCACTCACAATAAATACATGCAAAATAAGAATGGCCCATTGAGCTATTAGCTTCTTGTTCAGAAGCGACCTGACCGCAAATGATAGCTTAATGAAGTGCCTTATCATAGTGGTGAATGTATAGCAGGTAAATCATCTAATAATATAAGGCATTGGAGCATTCTACAGTACTCAAAATTACAATGTTGTGAGGTTTAATCCTGGTCAGAAGTTGACTCAGTTTATAATGTTGAGGGTCTATGAAATAAGAAGCACTTTTGTAAGACGGTCAATAGTGGTTTGATTATTTAGACACTGGTTCAAGGCACATGGAATGCTGAATTTCCATCACTGGCTCACGAATGCCAACGTAGATAATTGCTACCCCTTTGTTTGTTTGAGAGTCGATACACTTTCACTCGAAGAGCCCCAATGAAATACACATCTATATTTGCAAGAGAGGGGTGGAGGGGGTATTGAGTAAATTCAAGCGGAAGATAAAAAGCTACACAAACCAGTGTCAAATCGGTGGTGTAATACTTTTGCACACTTTGTTTGAATTGATCGTTCAAACACTGACTTTGTTCATATAATATGAAAAATAATCAACGGTAAAAGTGTTCTCATGTCCAAACATCTAAGAGGCATTGTGCATCCCTATTGGGCAGCCGTGAGCCAGTGGTTGGAAATACCATTTTCCCCTGGCAAGTCAGTGCCATAAGTTAGCCACCAGTGAATGCCACTGATGTGATACCGCTTATCCCAGCGTGATGATGGACTGAGCCAACCGCCTTCTAGGAGGCGAACTCCCAACCCTCCGATTCCGAGTCGAGCCGTTTATCCACGGAACCACACGGAAATGTTATACACTGCATGCGAGGAGCTGTTGAGTGTTCCAACAAGGTGTGGTCCAGATTGCATATACGTGGGGGCGAGTAGTGAGTGAACATGTCAATATGCATGTTGAACTTCGAGATTGAAAGAGCATTTCTTTAGAACTGCATTTTGTGTTTAGTTTGTTGTCCTTCCCTCGCACCTCCAATTAGGATGGTTGGCTAAATACGGCGCGAAAGAAGTTCAACAAACATACGTACACACGAACGTCTTTCATGCCGTACGTAGCCAACCGTGCGATAGAATTTCAACATACATACATACCACGCGCAACTCACTGCTCGAATCCCGCGTACATGCAATGCAGGATGCGGTAGCATCAGCAGCCTTGTGCAATTGAGACTTGGAGTACCTCGCCGTGTGCGTGCGTGCGTGTGCGCTTGCAGGCGTGCCGCTATGGGAACGTGCAGCACCTGGAGCATCTGCTGTTCTACGGGGCCGACACGAGGGTGCAGAACGCGTCGGGAAACACGGCCCTCCACGTCTGCGCCCTCTACAACCAGGTTGGCCTCGTCGCGTTTCGTACCCCCCCACCCCCGCTGGAGCTGCTCCCCCACATTGACTTCCCCCCCCCCCCAGCACCCACGTCGTGATGTCTGCACAGATTCAGCGCTCGAGAGAGCGAGCGTGCGAGCACAGCAGGCGGTATGATTAAAGGAAGATGACACAAACGATATTGAAATATCTTTTGAAGATGTGCGCGGAGGCTGTGCACACCCTGGGCTGTTTGACAAAAGTTTGCAGGATTGTTTGTGAGAAAACAAAAATGCTTTTATATAACAGTTGTACCCTCCATCACAGAGTGAGTGAAAACATTGTTGCATTGACATTATATAAAAAAACATACAAGTTGAGATCTGGGATGTATATTCACACCAAAGGCATGTGTCAGTGATTAAAGCGTCAATATGCTAAATTCCTCTGCTGATATGTAAACTCAGCTTATTGGAGAGTATATTGAGTATATTGCTTATGTTGATGTAGTTTCTATTTTAGTTTATTTATCGGTTCACTATATGGTAGTCATTATATAGTGTAGTGTATACCCAGTTACTTAATGTGAATAGCTCAGCTTATTGGAAAGTATATTGAGTACATTGATTACATTTATGTAGTTCATATTTAGTTTTTTCACATCGGTTTATTGTATGGTAGTAGTGGTAATTGCAGTTCTTTAGTGTCAATATGCTAAATTCCTCTGTTGATATGTAAACTCCTTTATCAAGGCGCTCTGCTACTCCCACCCAGCTTAATAATGCGCTGCCAAGCTTAGCAGTGTTCATTGGGACGCTGTCTTTCCGACAGCTCTGTTTCTTCACCTGAGGACGGCTGCTTGTGTTGTGGCCGAAACGTCGTGAGAATTTTATTATGTTTTATTTTTATTATTTTGTTATTTCCCTTCTACGTGACTTTACTGAAAGAACCAAGAATATGCATCCCTGCAGTCACGAAAGCTTTAAATCGAAAGTATGAAAGTTGCTGCCTCCTGCTGTGCAAAGCAGAGGTGACTTGAAGTGATCTCTGGAAGTGGTTCCGTGATATTTGTCTCCGTGGGATATTCTCTCACACGAAGCGTTGAGGAAACACGAAGGGGTTGCACTGCTGTGTGTGATATCAGAATGTTCATTTTTCCTTCGTGGCGTGACACCAATAGGACAATTGGGATACAATTTTTTGGGTACAAAGATGAAACAAGCACCAAAGTTACGTCACTCGAGTACTATAACCACAACTTAAAAAACAAATAATCATCACGAGATAATTTTACATGTACAGTTCGCCGAGCAAAATAAAATTTGCGTTGGAGGGACACAACGGTTTTTAAATACATGGTTACAAACCTTAACAGACTGTTGAGGGAAATGCTGTTAGGGAGCACCATCGAAGGCTAGAACGGTACATATGGGGGTGGGTGGCCAGCACTACTCCTGACAGACATTGTCTCCCCAGTGGCGATGTTTACACATCGCACCAGGTACTCCTTTGAGGCTGAGATGACCTAGTTGAAGCCCAGAACCAGTTCAGATAATCGTCACTGGCATTGGCCATGAGTGGGAATCGAACTTGGGTGGCCAGATCCGTAGCGCAGTGCGCTAACCGCTCCACTATATGCACACACACACATACATCTACAGACCGACCACAATTACCTGTCTTTGCCTGGTCATACTGTTGGAGAAAGCAGTCAAGCCAACAGTAAAGAGCGGGTGATCGGGGCCAAGGCAACCTTCGACGCACGGCTGCAATTATCTTCTCCGTGCGTTTTGTGAGTGGCCGAGGCCATGTTGTGGTTCAAAAATCAGGACCCTCTGGTGAAATTCACGTGGCCTTACTGGCAGCTTGTGTGTCCCCCCTCCCCCCAGTGGCTGTTTCGTGGCCAATTTTAGGACAGTCCCACGAGTCGCTGCTATTCATTAGCGGTCATTGCCACCGCCGGGGGGAGTGACATCCCAGCTCCTCTTGGGCGGCGGGTGGAGAGGTCACAACCAGGGCAATGCTGAGGTTGTGACACCTGACCGTGCTGGGGAATTGTGTGTGTGTGTGTGCCTCTGAGGCAGCGCAATTCGGCACGATCCACGTGCGCCTAGCGCCACGTCCGTCCTACCACGTGGTTGATGGTTAGAAAAAATTGCCACAAAGTCCGACCAGCCTTACCCTTGCAGGAATGGGTACCCGAGATAGGCTTAACCTGACCCTGGAGTGTTTGTCCCATACAGCCCTTATGTATACCCACATGTACATGGGGTAGAGTGTTTCACAGGCTGTGTTGTGAACCCGGCGACCCGAGTTATATTCCCAGCCATGGCTAACATTAGCAGCAACGTATATGTGAATCGGTATTGGGGCCCCTTTATAAACCAGTACTGATTTGCACGGGAAGGCCATCATCTGTTGGTGGATTGATACATACATCCTCTTGTAGAAATATAAATATCTCCCATATAGCCTTTAATACACTGTTGTGGCAAGTGCTGTTAGCCAGCCCCTATAAAGGTCGGCACGGCACACAAGAGGGTGGGTGGTCAGCAACGTTCCTGGCCACCTTTGTTTCGCAAGTGCTGATGTTTTAAATACACCACATCAGGTACTAAATTAAGGCTGAGTTGACCTCGGGAAGATTAAAATATTTGCCACTGTTATATGCTATGAGCTGGAAGCAATCTCGAATCACCGGGTGCTTAGCATATTGCGCTAACCACTGTGCCACCACTCCCCACCAGCAGGAACATACAGCCAAAACAAAGATCCCATTCTAGCCTTAACAGACTGCTGGGGCAAGTGCTGTTAGCGAGCACATATGAAGGCCGACACTGCACACGAGGGGGTGGGTGGCCAGCACCACACCTGACCGCCCTTGTCTCTCTAGTGGCGATGTTTACACACTGCACCAGGTACTCATTGAGTCGACCTTGGGAAGGCCCAGGACCTGCTCAGATAATCGTCACTGGTGTTGGCCGTGAGCAGGAATTAAACTCGGTTCACTGAGTTTGTCGCGCAAAATACTAACCTCTACACAATCGCTAGCCACATACATAATAAAAGCATGACTGTCACCGGCTGCCTCAGAAAATTAAATTTATAAACCTCATTTTGACTGTGTTTTGCGTTTTGGATTCATTCACTTTGAAAGCCATGCGCCCTCAAAGTTGATTTACATCTCAGCACAGCCCTCGGGAAAACGTAACGGAAGGATAGTCCCTCGCGGTCGTCACTTTTCTCTACAGAACCGGTTCTCCGGGGTCATTTCTCTGATCGAACTGATAGATAAGCAGGGGCTGACCATACGGATACACATAAATACATGATAGAGGGCCCTGATAAACAATTAATGCCTCCATGGGAATTGTCAATTATTTGCCTTTTCGGGTCAACTAATTCGTAAGATTCCTGGAAACCCAAAGTGTGCACAAGGTACTGGCTCGCGGCTTATGCACCGGCATGGCATTCGCTCAAGAACCACCGCACCACCTCCACGTCGCCGTGTTCGTTAATAACGGATGTGGCCCCAAGCCCACTCGACATCTCGTAATTGGGGTTGTTGCAGGTGGGAACTCGGCGTGTCGGTGTCTTCGTTGCCAGACTGCCGAGGAGGCACCGTCCGGCTCAAGGATAATGACTGAGAGGATGTAGCGCGTGCTGCTTTTAGGCGACCGTTTAGCCAACCGGTCACTACAAAAGCACGGGCCACCCCTGCTGTGTGCGCAGATTGCGCGCGTCTGCCCCGCGTTCCCGGGGAATAATTACCGCGGGCGAGCCTCAGATCGCTGTCAGCAGCGCAACGGCCGGGGATTTAACAAGAGCCTGGTGACAATGCCCTCTGTCCCGCAATGCCAGTTATCCAGGGCGCTCCGCTGGCGAGATGTTAACTCCCTCACCTGGTATTCCAGGTGGTTGAGGGTTCGATCCCGACCCTGATGAATGTATTTTTTGAGTTTTTGTGTTCTCCCCGCGGTCGCATGGATTTACCTCGGGTCCTCCCGTAATCTCATCACGCGTTTAGATTATTTGCCTGCTATACATTTCCATGTGATAAGCCACTTCGTTGGGCTATCATTTGTGGCCAGGTCGCTTGCTGAAGAAGAGCTATACCAGATGAATGTTCAGTTTCTTTAGTTTAATCCACCTCTGGCTGCAGCACATGGCAAGTACTGAATGCCGCTCAGGCACGGGTTCAAAATAGTGCTGGTTAAGGTCAACGTAAAGGTGCAGCCCTGCAATTACGTATTCACGCTGCTGCTGGTAGCCGGGCGGCGGTGCCCATGCACGTCGCCTGTTGGTGATCACTGCACAGATTTTGTGCAACTCCCTTCCCGTGGGCGTCGAGGAGGAGCCATTTCATGAAAGTATAGCAAGTGGACTAATCTCCATCTGCTTCCATCTGTACGGGGATAGAGTGTTGCCCCCTTACGCACGTGTGGTTTTCTCCATGTGCTCCGGTTTCGTCCCACTTGTATAATAAACACTCATCGTGAATTGGCGTAAACGTCTCAAAATAAAAACCCTAATGGCCTTTATTTCTTTGTTGTGATAACTTTTTTTGTTGCCTGTGCTTTTCTGTTTTGGTGCCGTTTCTTAATTTGTTTGTTAATGTTCTTTTCTTGGTAGCAGTAGGGTTTTTATTTGCTTGGTAGTGGCTGCATATGGGAGTTGATTCTTATATATAATTAATGTTCAACGTTTTTGGATGCTATTCGCATGAATGACGCTATGTGGCAGGAGCCTTCCAAACGAGAGTCCTATGGCTCAGTGTGGCTCTCCTGGATAAATAAGTAAAAATAAGAAGGACCTCTGCTAGTGAGAGCTATATAAAGCCTTTCTAGAAGGTATTTGGTCTACACTTCCAAACTGGCCATAGGACTTTGAAGAGGGTCGAAATACCCACACTTTAACCCACCACAAGTGGACTCCCTTTCGACTAAATGTGGTTTACACATTTCGATTTTTAAGCTTTAGTTACTGCAGGGATTCATCTTCTTGGTTCTTTCGGTAAAGTCACGTAGAA